TTTGCTCCGCTGTTTTTCTTAATTATTTTGTTCCTAAGCAGAAGAAATATTTTAGAATGCTGGCGAATTCTGCTTCTCGATAGTGTGTTCTCGTCTACCAATTGTCTTCCATTAAAAATAAGACATTGATGATCAACGTGGATTACTTCTTTAAAGAATTTTAAAAACCTTACGTCCTAACTTATTATCTTAACTATCTAAATTTCCGTAATACCTTTTTATTTTATTAACTATATATTACTATTACATCTTAGCCAATAATTCTGGATCGGAATCGTTAGCACAGATTATATCAGAACCAACACAAGTTGTATCAGAACCAATCATAGCAAAGTCTTCAAAAGGTCAAATATGTGTGAAAACTTCCACTGGAAAGATTATAAACCTACAAGTAGCTGGAAGTAACACGGTTTATTCTCTTAAGGAAATGATTCAAAATAAAGAATCTTATTTTCCTGATCAACAACGCCTTATATTTGCTGGCAAGTTTTTGGATGACGAGCGTCTCATTTCAGACTACTGTATAAAAAAGGAATCTGTATTACATCTTTTGTTAATTCCGAAAGGTCTAATACACATACAAATGCCCACTAGAAAAACTTTGGTGTTAGAAGTGTATTATGATATTACTGTTAACACCCTTAGAAAAATAATCCAGGATAAGGAGGGTATTCCTAATGACAAGTTCTATTTGTCATTTAGTCTTAAAACTCAAAGAAACATCCCATTAAGTGACGATGTCCATAAATTTGAAGATACCTATACTATTTCAGAAAAAGCAATTGAGGAATTTGATGAAACTTTATTAAATTATAAAATCCATTTGAACTATTATTTATCATTAATCTCTATCTATGTGGAACAATTTAATAGAAAATCTATAACTCTAGACATAGTTTTGAATTATACTATTTCTGAATTAAAAAAAATAATCCAACATAAAGAAGAAATCCACGTTGATCATCAATGTCTTATTTTTAATGGAAGACAATTGGTAGACGAGAACACACTATCAAGAAGCAGAATTCGCCAGCATTCTAAAATATTTCTTCTGCTTAGGAACAAAATAATTAAGAAAAACAGCGGAGCAAA